TCTCTTGGCTTGAGGGTAGATGGACAAAACATAGCAAATGCACTTGGCACTGCCCCTGACCAAGACAGTGGGGAGTCCGCCCCACTCACTCTGCCCAGCACCCTCTCCACCTTACACCAGACTGCTGCTTAGGATATGGCAGTACAGAGGGACTCTGGTATGGACCTGAGGGAGTGATACACAGTTTACAGATAGTGCTACTGTCCGACACTGGTCACTCTCTCCCACCCTAGCCCGAGTGCATGATGCCCCCAGCAGTCTGGATGGCTTTATGCATGGACAGGCAGGCCCATTTAGGAGCCAAACTATCTCTTTTCCTTCCTCTCAGCCTTCAAGAGTTCCTAGATGCACAGAAGGGCCAGAAAGGGTTTATCCAGGGGTCAGGTGGTTGATGAATGAAGGATGGGCCTGGCTTTCTTATACTGGAATTTACTTAATGTAGTTTGGTCTGAGCTGACAGCTATCTTAATGAAGGGCCTGGGATACAGTACAGGAACAAGCTAATTAGGGACACAGTGTAGGGATTTGTTGGTTTCTAGGTGGTCCCCAAGAGAAAATGGAGGTTTTAGAAAATAAAGATAAGAGATAATAGCTGAGGTCAGTTGGTGGACCATGCCTGATTGGCAAAGGGCCCCCAAACAACAGTAGGGGCATTTATTTTTACCTTCACAAAGTTACAAGACATAAGCTTGTCTAGCAACTAATAACCAACAATGTCTAGGCAGGATGTTTTTTCAAAACTTAGGTAGCTTGACTGTTTCAGGCAATGAAGCTTCGTCCTGCTCTCCAGCTTCTGCAGGCTCCCAACACCAGGACACAGGATGCTGCATTATTACCAAAGCAAGTGCCAGGAACTGGCAGGGGACAGAAGCCAAAACAGGACCTTGGACCATAATCTGCTTTCTTTCTGCCCTCTTTGTCCATCCTTCTTACCCCTGCTTCTCTCTCCCCCTTTTTCATCTGTCCCTTCCTTTCTCACATGTTTATAAAGAACATTCTTTTCATTTCTCTTTATTTGACTATGGCTGAATTAAAACTGTACCATTTGTTTGATTTGCTGAACTTAAACCACCACAGCTGTGAAAGAAATCAATTTGTGTTCATCTCAAGTGCAGATCTGGGACTGCTGACCCGAACCTTGGCCAAGGAGGGTGTGTGGTGATACTTTGTAGTGGGATCATAGGTGCTGCAGTAGAGCAGTAGGGTCACCTGACCCAAGGGCAGCCTTTGAGCACAGGCCTCCATGGGAACTTCCTCTTCTTGCTGTTCCTCAAACCACTCGGGCTCTGGAGAATCCTGGCATCGGAATGCTGCTGAAGTGTGCATGGCAAGTAGGAGCCACACCATTGTCCAGCCAGCACATTCAGCTTTATTTAGTCACTTTACTCACATGCAGGATGAACAGGAGACATCAGCAGCATGGTGAAATCCTTGTTCAAGGAGATCACACTAGGGGACTGGACAAGAGCAGAGCGATGGCAGGGGAGAGGGGGCAGTGGGCTACATTTGCAGGGGTGGAAAGGAGCCCAGATCAGAAAGGGCCACTGAGTAGAAGACTCAGGAGGACACTGAGGCAGGGGCCTGGGCCAGAGTCATGGCACTCTGCTTGCCCTGGGCCTGCAAGGCAGGGTGGGCTTCCTTTACTCTGCTTCCTACCTGGTTCTTACACTGTCTGGAGAGCCTACTGCTCATCTTTTTAGCTGCTGAGACATCTTTTTAGCAGCTGGATTTCTGAGCAGCTGAGACAATGGAACATGCGCTGCCTGGTGCTGGAGCAAGCTACAGGGACCAGTTCAGAGCCTGCTAGGCACCACTTGCTGCCACAGACCTTGTGGATCTGTGGACACGCTTCCTGAGGGCTGATCCAACACACTTGGCCATATACTAGGTGCTGGCAAGGGGAGATGAAGAAAAGGCATCCGCTGTGCCCTAGGGGAGTTACACTAAAAGTGTGAAGCATACAGAACACCAGCGACCAGTCCTGCAAAAGTATAGAGGGGCTGCCCAAGAAGCTTGGTTTTCATTTTGACTTTCACCGTACTGGGCATTGAACCCAAGGAGCACTGACTACATCCCCAGCTCTTTTTAATTTTTATTTTGAGACAAGTGCTCAAATAATTTGCCCATGCAAGGTTCAAACTTCTGATCCTCCTGCTTCAGACTATTAGACTGCTGGGACTCAGGTGTATGCCACTACGCCAAGCTCAAGCTGCAAGTTAGAGTTTGGTCAAGAATGAATCAGGAGTGATCAATTCATTGCTGGATTTCTCCACTGCATGGCTCAGTGCAAAGGTGCCCCACAGACAACTCAGCTCTTCTGGCTAGCAGGACCCTCTTTGCAGCAAGGAAGGGGGAGTCACAATGCAGAAGGGTATTGGAAGGCTCAGAGGTGCTTCAGTGGGGGAATGACCCTGCTACCTGCAGCAAATCACATGTCCCTTTGTTTTTCTCTCACACTTGCTACCCCCAGGCTTCCTCTTTTTTTCTCCTTGTACCCTCATAGAGTTATATCCTTTCTCTTTGTCTTGATCACTACCCTCTATTTCCTGAATGCTCTTTGTCAGTTAGGGTCCACAGTGCTCCTCTGAGAGAATCTTTGCCCCACATTGTCACGACTGCATCCCAGCCTTTGGCAGAGCAAATGCCTTCACCTTTTCCAGCTCTGCAGCCACCAAAGCAGGGCTTTCCATCCAGTAGATCACAGCATGGAGCACAGGAATTTCAAGGTGAACTGGGCCTAGAAGGCTACAGTACCGGGTTCAATCCCAAGTACGTGCAAAAAAATTTTTTTAAATGAAGTATTGACTCATGCTTTGATATAGGTGAATCTTAAAAATATTTTTTTGTTAAAGAAGTCAGTCACAAAAGATCTCATATGAGTCCACTGATATGAAATGTTTAGTCAGCAAATCCACAGAACTCCAAAGTGAAGTAGAAGCTACTAAGGGGTGGAGGTAAGATGGGGCTGGAAGGTTTGACATTTCTTTTAGGGTAAAGAAAATGTTCTAAGGGTGTGCAATGTACCAACTATATTAACACTCACTGTTGTGTATTTTCAAATGACAAATTTTATGTTACGTGCAGTACCTCTGACCCCCCAAATTCTCACTCCACAAATAAAAAGCAATTTAGAGCAAGGGTTCCTGACCCAGGCTCATACTTTATTAGAATCTGAGGCTCTCTGCCACCCTAGCTGCAGCTTCCTCATGATGAGAGGCTGAGTCCCGCCCTTCACTCAAGGTTTCAGCAATGAATGAAGACCCAGTGCAGCCCAGGTTCCAGGTGTAGAGTGGCCACCACTAGTCTCCATGTGGCCCATTTCCTGATGGAGAGGCCTCGACTTTTCTCTGGCAGGGCACCTGCTGGCAGCTAGCCACAGGGAACATCCAACCCAGCCCCACTGCCCAGTGCAGAGCAGAGGAGCTCCACTGCCACTCTCTGAGTGATACACTTCCTAATGGAGAGGCCTGGGTCATCCGTGGCCAGACACCTGGTGGCTGCTAGCTACAAGCTCTCGCAGCAAGTGAGGGCGCACAAGTCAGACCTGTGAAACAGCGGAGCACACAGAACTCACCTGGCAACTCACACTTACCCACCTCTGTCTTCTCCCCAAGGACATTTTAGATGGAAGCTGCTATTTTTCAAAGTGGACTGTGAAACCTGGAAATCAGGAGATGTGAGACTTTACTTGAGAAATGAAAACCACTCTGCTCTTGACTCACAGACACACAATTTTTCTCTATCATCTGGAAGGACTGCAGAGAAAGCAACTGTCCTGTCTTTGGCGTTCATATCGAGGTAGGGAGATAAACTACAAACAAGATGAGACTGTAGCATCAGGCAGGTGGTTTCTGAAGGGCTAGGGCACCCTTCATAGCAGCCTACCCACTCCTCTCGGTGCCTGCCTTTACTTCAGCCAAGAAGGGAATGGGGCAAGACTGGTTCTGGGTTGACACCTCAGTAGAAAATGAAGAACTTAAGGGCTGACAAAAAATGAAGGAGTCAGAATAGAAATAATGCAAAGCAAAAGTAGATAACATTCATCACGAAAACTCATCAAATACAGAATAGAGTAAAACATCCATAACCTTTTGGAGGGCATCTATAAAAAAGTCCACAACCAATATCACACTTAATGATGAAGTAGAGCATGTTTTCTTCCTAAGAAAAGCAAGCATGGAAATCTGTTCTTCTCACTCAGCACTACACTGAAGATTTGGCCAGTGCAATAAGAAAAACAAACTGGAAATAAATAAAATTGAGCCTACCACCAACCTGAATAAGTAAATAAGTAAAGAATCCGCCAAGGGAATGTCTAGAAATAATCAACGACTTTACTTAGGATATAAGATACAAGACTTATCACAAAATTGAAGAGAATCCAAAGAGAAAATAAGCACAGAAAAAAATCATTCTTAGTCACTAGCGAAACTGGCGTGACCCAGTCTTGCCGGCTAAGAACTAAAGATTGCACCAGAAAGCAGGGGCACCCAGCTTTGGAGCTACCTTCTTTATTTTGCTCCGGAGGAGCTGTTTGGCGAAAGCACGGAGGGCTTCGGCTCCCTGAAAAATCCACCCCAGGATATGTTCACATCAACATCACCGTGGAAGGGGCGGGGGAAATAGCTCGGTAGAATAAGTACTTGCCTGGCAAGTGCAGGGTCCAGAGTTCAATCTCCGCTTTCAAATCACCGCGGAAATAGAAAGCTTTGCTATGGTCACAACAAAGGCACTTGTTCCCTCCTAGTTTGCAAGTTTTACACGTGTTTCCACCTGCACCGTCTGATGACAAAAACAATTACAGTTAGAGGCGAGGTTGACACTGTGGCGAGGAACCCGGCCAGAAGGTCCTGGACTGCAGCCTACCCCTCGAGCTCCGGCCAACCACATCTCCGGAGTCGGCCTCTGCGCGGAGCAGCAGCCAATCAGCGGTAGGGAGGCGGGATGTACGCCCTCCCGATCACGTGGGCCACCGGAGGCGGCTCTTCCGGTGACGCGACGAGACAGCGTGCGCGTGCTGGGTGCGGGGTCGGGAGTCCTCCGTCCTGCTAGGCCACCTTTTGTGACTTGTTGGCCGCGCGCTACGCAGGAAGGACTCTGGGAGACCCTGAAGCCGCGCCATGGTGATGTTGTGGGACAGAAGACGGGATTGGGATGGAGTCGGGATGAGGTCTGAGAGGAAGTGGCTAGAGGCAGCTACTGGGAACTACAACCTCCCTCTTAGCTCCAGACCCTGAGATTCTCTGGTCTTTGGTGCTTTTGTCCTTTTCCCCTGGGGGTCAGGGTTACTTCCGGGTTCCCCGCGTCCTGATCCCACCGTGACACTCCCAGCCCGCTGCGCTACCTTGGGTGGCCCCAGGCCCAGCCTCAGCTGCACCAGTCTGGGCGAGCGGGAAGGAGTTAGGTTGATTCAGGTGTGGAGTGGAGCTGGGTGCAGCTGTGATATGCTAGGTCCCTGGTCTCATCCCTTTTAGCGACAGACCTGGAGGACTGACATGTCTGCGGCGCGAATCTCATACCCATAACTCAATCTCAGACCTCTACCTTTTTATATTCAGAGTGAATTACTAAATTTCCAGTGTTTCCGCATATTGCCAAAGTCATAATGGGTGTTGATATGGGCCATGAGAAGCCAAAGAAAGGCTTATTGCAGTGGTGGAGTTCTTACCAAGCGTGCAGTGAAATCCTACTTTCCATGCCCAGCAGCCCCCAAAGTTAGCACCTTAATCATTTATGTCAGACCCCTACTCACAGTGATAAAGACGGAGCCTGTGGTCTCCAACATGATGGAATGAAGTCATGAACAAAAGGGAGGTCGTTAGGAGAGTTTTTATTGGAAATAAGGATAGCTCACTGACTCCCTGGAAGCGTTCTGAGTGGGTGGCCATGTAACTGCCCAGTTCAGAGCTGATTATAGTAATCAGAGCGCAGTAATTGCTGAGTTATTTAATGGTCACCTTTAACAAGTGACTCATTAAAATGACCATTTTGAACTGGGGTCTTAAACCTTTTTTGTTACCTTGTAAGTGTTATGGAAAACTGGTGTTCTAGAGAAAAACTGCTTAATTTACACTTTAAATTCCTGGAAACTCAGAAGCTTGTGTGGAGTGGTAACTCCCTGTAGTAGGGACAGGCTGCTTTCCATGTTGCCAGAGAAAGTTGGTTCTTGGTTCTCTTCCTGTGGTTCACCATTATGTTAATTCTTAGCAGTTTGGCTTATACTCATAAGGTAACTAAGTAAAATATTTACAAAATGAGACCTTCCAGGAGACGGGGAGATGGCTCAGTGGGATAAGCGCTTCCCTGGCAAGTGCAAGGGCCTGAGTTCAATCCCTGGTTCCAAGGGAAAAAAAAAAAAGAGAGAGGCTTTCCAGGAGTTTAGAATTAGGAGAAAAATGGAGACGATGTTAATGTATTACCAAGAGAGGGGGAGGGGTTCTCTCCAAAGACAACTTTCTGAAAGCAATGCCTGTTAACAGCCAAATTGAGAAATATTGAATTAGGGTATCTATATGGACCTGTGATTCCCATCTCTGCAATAAATGATGTTGTTTTGAGGCTGGTTCTAAACATTGCAAGCATTGAAGTACAGCTAAATGCCTATAGTTAAGGTCTACAGACACATGAAGGAATAGGAATGAAAGGTTTTTTTTTTGTTTTTTTTTGTTTTTGTTTTTGTTTTTTATAGGCAGGGGCAAAGGGAGGAAAAGGAAACGAGAGAACAAGGTTTGATGGAGGTCAGTGAAATGAGCAACTAGAACTGAATGTCAGATTGTTCTTAGTGTGACAATAATTGAAGGATTGTGTGCTGCCGGGATCTGAGTGTGGGTCAAAGGTCCCCGGTCTAAAGCAAGGAGGGAAACTTAGTAACAGATACTATAAATACATCTTTTGTTTGTTACTGATCAGTTCATCTAATTATTTGTGAGGTAAAATTGAAATTACAAAACTGACCTTGTAAGTTTAAAAATAGAGTGGGCATCATCATTGAAGTAGAAGTGTTTTCTCATGATCAAAAAAGATTTCAAGAGGGATTTTGCTCCAAGCCTCACCTCCCCTAACCCATTTTTAGAAGTTTTTTTGAGGTTTGATCTTATTAAGTTGCCCGGGCTGGGGAGCACTTTTGCTGCTGTCTCATCACCTCCTTGCCTGTTGAGATGACAGGCATGTGCATTGTGCCAGTCCCAGATTGGGGTTCTCTGTGACTTACCAGGATTTCAGTGGTTGGGTAAGGTAGATGTTAGTGAAGCTTGATGGTGCATGCCTGTAATCCCAGCCACATGGGGGACTGGGGCAGGAGCATCGCAGCATTAAGCCTGATCCAGACAGTCAAACAAGGTCCTGTTTCAATAGGAAATAAACATTTGGGGGTGTACCTTCAGTATAACTCACCTAACACACACAAGGCCCTACTTAAGTCTTTAGTACTAAAGAAAAAAGAAAGAAAACTTAGAGAAATCATTCAGTTTTTAATTTATTTACTTCTCTTACTAGTGTTATGTGGTGTAATACTTGCTCATGATAGTGGACAGCAGTAATGAGTCACTGTTCTATCAGCAACTGGACACCAAGAAGCAACCAGTGATTTACAGTGTGCTATATTTTATAAAATTCAGGAGATATTTAGTATTTTATTATGAATTTTGTGCAATGTTGATTTCCTCAAACAGATCTAGACAAGCGTGTTGAGCAGTTTTAAAGATCTACAGATTGACAATGATAAATGTTGATCAGGTCTCATCTCATCTGGTCTGCTCTTGTCTCATCTCTCTCGTTATCTCTCTGTCTTCTTTTTGAGACAGCCTTGTTCTGCATTTCAGGCTAGGCTTGAACTTACTTTGTAGCCAAGCCTGACTGAACTCACAGAAATCCTCATGAAGTGCTGAGATTATTGGTGTGCACCATTACACCAGGCCTGTGCATTTTCAGTACATTTTATTTTCAACTTCCTTTGCGTCGATCATGATATTTTTCCCTTTCAAAGTCAAGTAGACTCACTCTCCTAACTCTTCAAAAGTCCTTTGTAGAACATGACATTCATCAGGTTGTTTCCTGGTTTTTTTTAAAGTATAACATTCAATTTATTATTTCTTTCTCAAGAGAGTTTTCTTCAGTCCATTAAGACTCAGCTCCCCTTACATGGGCTTTGGTGGAGGTCGTGGGGCAGCACCAGCAGGTCTAAATTGGGGTGGAGGAGTTTGGTCCTTACGGGCTTCACGAGATCGATCTCTGACCACTTTGCTGTGAATGGCACAACTCACACAATAATGCAGCTTCACATACAGCTTGGGAAGCACATAACCGTTGAAGACACTCGCTTTGGAAATGTCCCTGACGGCGGCGGCCTCCACTATGTTCCGAATGACAAACTTCTTAATAGCCTTATCCTTGGGTACGCACGGGGCACAGTTTGTGCAGCGAATAGGCTGCATATGACCACGGCCCTTTTTGGCATGACCGTTGTTCCTTCTCTTTTTCATCATCTTGGAAAGGAGGACCCGAAAGAGGATGTTTCCTGTTTTTAATACTGCATTAATTAGCTTCCCCAGAGCAGCCCAACCAGGAAATAGTATGAGTATTGTTTTCAAAAGCAAAACTACTCTGGGGGGTTCTTTGCTTTGTGTATCTGACTTTTTTGTTGCTGTTCTGGAATTATAAAGAGGCCCCCTACTCTCTAGTCATACTCTGGCTTACATTACCCTTACAAGGGGATAGGATCCAACTTTTCAATGAAAAGATAGGGCTGAGCAGTTTGAGCACAACACCAAGCATGTGCAAAGCTTAAGAGAAAAGTCTCCATTTTCTAGTTATACTTTATGCTGATTCTGAGAACTCCTCTAGTTGCTTGAACCTTAGGCCAACCTCCGCCTTTCTATACTGGGTTGTTCATTACTATAATCCTTCTTTCACTTCCATCTCCTTAGTGGGCTGAAAGAAGGCCTGTCCAGTACTTTTGCTTCCTAGTCCCTTTCCCCCTTGTACTGATCTGTATGTCCATGGGGAAAGAGATGACCCTGACACTTTGTTTCATAAATGACAAGAGACTACACCCCATGAACTCCCCCTGTGTCTCGTGGGTTCCCCAAACTCTGAGCGCAGAACTTCCATGTTAGCACCAGAAGAAACCCATGGCAGTGGCTTATGGAGAAAGGCACAGCTGAGATAAGGCATGGAGTGTCAATTCAGGGCATCCCTTAGCCTGTCCTCTGTACCTCCCAGTGGTGTGTCATCATAGAGTGTCAGGCAGTGCAGCAGGTTCCAGGTGTTCACATCAGTGACATCTGAGATGTATTGCAGGTGATGGGGACAAGGAGTGTGTGCAAGGGCAGAGTGCTGTGGGTTGTGCCATTCATTCCACTTGGGCTTGGGGTGCAGAGAATTTTGGTAGCTCTTCAAGTCTTTGCCCATTGTAGGTACCTGTTGTTAGGAGCTCATATGTTCATACTGCACCCGTGAAGTTGATGGCTTTTAGGCATTGGTGACTGTGCACATGTTATCCTGAGAAGTTTCCACTGTTTAGCTCTAGAATACCTTCATTGGCTTTCCATGGTTGTGGGAAAGCAGGCTTTTCTAGTCCTTTCACTGGTGTAAATGCCACAAGGCATATTCATTTGCTGCCCTAGAAGCAGATTTGAGAAAATGCCGTAGATGCTCAGGGCTCAGGAGTCTGTTTGCAACAATTCCTAGTTCTCATAGCCAACCAACATTAGGCTTTTTCTAATTTGATGAGTTTCATAGGTTTATGTAGGAATTTATGTCTTTTAACATTTTTCTGTCTTTTATGCATCCATTTTATGTGTTTTTTAATTTCCTCTGTAAGCCTTTCTAAAAGTATCAGGTTATATCAGAAATCTACAGGTTTCTCTGAGGTATTTTAGAATTTGGGCTGGAAATAACTGACAAAGGAAAGGCCAGAGAGCTTAGCACTAGCTGCAGTGCTATCTTCAAGGTCTAAAATTCTGTCTTTAGTTTTGTTGAAGCAGTTTTACCAGCTTTCAGTGGAATTATTGATGTCCTGGATATCAGTTTGAATATGTCTCATGCATTCTAGTTCTTTCCTGTATTGTTCATCCAGTGTTTCTGTCATTTTTCTATTCCCCTCAATTTTTTTTTAACCTATGTC